CTCTCAAATATGCTATCACTGTGCAGAAGACAGTAGAACTATACTTTGATTAGGATTTGCTTGTACTTCAGTCCTTGCTTCCTATTGTAGCCATAATCTTCAGTGGGCAAACTTGGGTGAATGACCATATCTTCCCCAGCTTAGATAATGTATTATTTTTGAGTTAAAAGGTTAATATTAAATCAACTTCCATGTAAGCCTATGGACTTGGCATCTCATAAGCATCAGTTGGCCAATATGAGAAACCAAATGCCAATCTCTACAGAAATCCGGTCAGATCTACCTGGATTTTTCTTGTAGGACCCAGCCAATCTTGCACAGAAAGAAGAAGGTTAGGATTAAAATGTTCAGAACATATTTAAGATTGTATTCTACATATGACTTCACACTCACATGCCATCCCTCCCCCAAGGATTTTCCCCTTGTGGTGTCACTCTTACCACATGAGGTAGGTTAGACCAGAAATTATGACTAGCCCTAGGTTGCTTGATGAGGCTCATGAGAAACTGGGGATTTGAAATTAGGTGGTCTAGGTATAAGTCTGACATTCTAACTAGTACACCACATGGATTCTGAAACTGAAGAGGAGAAGAGAGAATAATTATATGGCCTGCTCCTGATTACAATTAGCATGCCTGCTCCAGCCTGGTTCCCCAGCAAAGGAACTGTGATTTGTTTATTAGTGTATCTCTCTGTGAATGATAAGACTGGCCATTAAAAGTGCAAATCAGAACTGAGAACTGAGGAAGATCCCTGCTGGATCAATCAAGCATCATTCTAGCATAGATGCTCCTTCCCAAAATGACCAGACAGACAGATCTGCAAGCAAAACGTGAAGCTCTATCCCATTGTGACTTCAAACAAGTAAAATTCAGTGCTATGCTGCAGCAGATTGGAGATTTCATCTTCCTCTCATGACTACTGGCCATTGATAGACTTGACTTATCCTTCAGTCACTTATAGCTAATGGCCATTATCACCTCTAATGGCAGCAATTTCCATAAACAAATTTGTTTACCAAATCCCTGGCATTTTTCTGAGTCACCTGGCTTGAGAAGTGGCTACAATGCACACACAATAGCTTCGCAAGCTTCATCAACAAGAGGTTAGAATGAGCATCAGAAAACACTTTATCCTATCAGAAAACTTTGAATAGTATTTCCAGCCTCAGTTCATCTCCACAAGATGGGTACACCTCCCACCCACCCAATAAAGCACATTTTTTTCATTTGAGCCCAGATACTTCAAGGATCATCCAAGTATAATATACATCAATAGTATGGATCAAAGAAGTAAATCAACTTATTAGTCCCATTGCACCCAAAAGGACCTTGATAAGGTTTTATTCTTCACTATCTGAGGGTGAATTAATTTTTTTTTAAAAAAGAGGCAAGGATGCAGAAGATAAAATAAAGCATTCTAAATATAATTTGTTAAGTATAATATCAGTCACTAAGGTTGCCCCTTCTGCTATTTCTCAGATGACTTCAGAACAACAGATCTGATTCTTACATTTCCGCCCTGTGAGTCAGGGAATAGAACTATGATGCCCTTTTCTTTTTAGAATTTTTTTTTATCCTGCCTTTATTATTTTTATAAATGACTCAAGGCGGCAGACATACCTAATACTCCTCCCTCTTCCTATTTTCCCCACAACAACAACCCTGTGAGGTGAGTTGGGCTGAGAGAAAGCAACTGGCCCAAAGTCA